TCCCAGCACCACATAAAACTGGGAGTGGTAGCACCTGCCAGTAATCCCAGCTCAGAAAATATGGGGGGGATGGGTGTGTGCATGTCAGAAACTCAAGGTGGGAGCTGGAGAAATGGCTCGGGGGTTAAAAGCACTTGCTGCTCTTCCAGAGGACACAGGATCAGTTTCCATCACCCACGTGGTGGCTCACAGCCATCTGTAACTCCAGCCCCAGATGCCCTTTTCTGGCTTCCTCAGGCACCAGTTGTGTTCATAGTACAGAGATAGACAGACAAACACAAACACCCATGCACATAAAATTAATAATTAATAAAGTATTTGTGACTTAATTGTTCAATTTTAATTGAAATATAAAATTGTAGGGCCAGGCATGATGGTACATACTTTTAATCCTAGCACTCTGCAGGCAGAAGCCAGCAGATCTTTTTGAGTTCCAAGCCACTCTGGTCCATAAAGAGAATTCCAGGTCAGCCACGGTCTACATAATGAGACCATTTTTGTTTTGTTTTGTTTTGTTTGTGGTTTTTGTTTTGTTTTTTAAGTAAAGAAGACATTTCTCACTTATTTTCATTCTCTACATAGGTTTTCTTTCATTTTGGTTAGCCATCTTTATTTTATGTGCATTGGTGTTTTGTTTGCATGTATGTCTGTATGAAGGTATTGGATCCTTTGGAACTCGAGTCACAGACTAAGCCCTGCCAAACTACATATATAGGTAAAAATGATTTTGACTTAGGGATTGTCCTTCTGCCCCTTCGTGCTGGGCACACAGGTGGGCAGAGCTACACCATGTTTTCTTCTGGTCCTTGAGAGGTGTTGAATTTTAATAGAGCCTGAACTTTGTCAGATTTTAATAGAAGCTATATCAGTAATACACACAAACTCCTTTCCTTAAAAATAAATAGTTTCTTTGTTTAAAACATACTTCTGCCTACAGATGTTTTGTTTTGTTTTGTTTTGTTTTTTTGTTTTTGATAGGACTGATAGTGGAAAATGCTTTGAACACTCATTGGGATCCTGTAGGTCTCAAAGTGTAGCTTACTTAGTATTTGATTGCATCTTTGGCCCAAGGAGGTTATTTGGTGAAAGTTAAAGTTGCTTAAGCTGGCTGTGTGATGAGTAATACATACTTGGTTTTGTTCTTGTGTGGAAATGTGGAGACTGTTGGTGCTTGCAAGTCATTAGGTAGTACCAAAACAACTCTGCTTTGTCCTCTTCCAACTAGCTTCTTATAACTCCTGTAGTACCTAATAGATAAGCACCTCGGTGTTCAACAAGTGTGTGACAAAGTGCTTTGCATAAATGCAAATCCTTGTGATTATTTTATAAACCAGAGAATTGGGCAAGCTTTACAATTTTGTAATTTGCTGCCTTGGCTCCCATTTTTTTGCATTGGTAAAATGCTAAGGTATAGATTGTTGGTACAGTGTAGGATTGACCGTAACAAAATCAGGTTAGAAATTAACTCTACTTTTTGGTCCCTTGATGAACGTAGTTGGTTACACCTTCTCTTCCCTAATATAATGATTTGTTTTATGTAGAACAAGCCAGAGAGGCCAAAGTGATTCCCATTATGTTAAAGTTACATAGCAGTTTAGCATCAATTGTATTGAACAACTTATTAAGGTTATCTTTAAGAAAAGATAACATAGCAAGATTTCATTTATTTAAGGCAAGTAGAACAGATTTTGTTAAGAAAAAATCTAGGAGTGGTGGCCACACCTTTAATCCCAGCACTTAGGACCAAAGTGGCCCAGTCTTCGTAGTGATTTCCTGGACAGCCAGAACTATGTAGTAAGACCCTTGTCTCAAAAGAAGGGAAAAAATAAGCTTTACTTAATTTTAATTAATTAAAAATTGCAGTAGGTTCCGAAGTAGATAATAGTAAAATTTTTTCCAGTGTTTGTCTATCACATGACAGGCATTCAGTAAACCTGGCTTCCTTCCTTCCTTTTGTCAGTAGCCAGGACAGCTCCTTCAGTGTTACTCATTTGACTTGGCTTATTGGGTGGCTGACCAAACAGCAACATGAGGCATGTTGCAAACAAATTGTATGCCCTTCTGTTGTAGACTATTATTTTAAGGTGTGTTACATTTGTTTATGCTGTGGAACATTTGCTTTAATGATGCAAAGATGTGTTACATTCTTTTATGATGCATTTGTTTAACTCTGTGAAGCTGTGATTCTTTGCCTGTCTGAAACACTTGATAGTCTAATAAAGAGCAGAATGCCTAATAGTGGGGCAGGAGAAAGGATAGGTGGGGCTGGCAGGTAAAGACAATACATAGGAGGAGAAATCTGGGAAGAAGGAGGAGGAACAAGAGAAAGAGAGGAGGACATCAGGGGTCAGCCACCCAGCCACCCAGCTACCCAGTTACCCAGCCAGCTGCGGAGTAACAGTGAAAGTAAGGTATACAGAAATAGAAAGGTAAAAGCCCAGAGACAAAAGGTAGATGGGCTAATTACAGAAAAGATGACTAGAATCAAGCCAAGCTAAGGCTAGGAATTTATAAGAAAGAGTAAGTCTCCATGTCATGATTTGGGGGTGGCACCTCCCCCAAAGAGCAAAGAGTTAAGAGCAAAGAATAAAAACCCAACATTCTGCTGGGCATTGGTGACACATGCCTTTAATCCCAGCACTTGGGAGGCAGAGGCAGGCAGATCTCAAGTTCGAGGCCAGCCTGGTCTCTAGAGCGAGTGCCAGGATAGGCTCCAAAGCTACACAGAGAAACCCTGTCTCGAAAAAACAAACAAACAAAACCAAACAACAACAACAACAAAAAGATACGGCTCCTTTAAGATTTTCTGCTTGATAGTTTGTGCTAAACAGTGAGCCCTTGAGCAGCGAGTATATTAAGTAAAAATGCCTGCCCCAGTGCAGGGCACTAGCATTCCATAGCTGGGAAGTTAAATGCAGTTCCTGGTCATGCACCTCTGACCATGCTTCAAGCTTTAGGCTTGGCTCTCAAGAACCTAGAAGTGGGTAGAGCTAGCTGAGAGAGCCACAGAGGATCCAGGTGTAGCTTAACAGTCTAAAGTTTGCTCATGCAGTCAAAAAAAGGCTAAAAGATACACACAGTAAGAGTCCAGATGGAAGCCGGGCATTGGTAGTGCACGCCTTTAATCCCAGCACTTGGGAGGCAGATTTCTGTGAGTTTGAGACCAGCCTGGTCTATAAGAGCTAGTTCCAGGACAGGCTCCAAAGCTACACAGGGAAACCCTGTCTCCGAAAAACAAAGAAACAAAAAAACAAACAAAAAAAGTCCAGATGGAAAAAAAAAACTTTAAACAGGTCCCAGTGTGTTTTACAATGTGCATAGGCTTAAGAAAGAAAGAAAATATACAGTTATAGAAAGAAATAAATAGTTTTAAAAAATAAAATTCTGTAGAGACAGTAAAAGTAAATAAAAGAAAAAAGCCATGAAAAATGGGAAATACACAGGGAGTCTGGATCCTATATAGTATTATGTTGATTTTGAATTTTTGAATGCTGATAAACAACAGCTGCTAAGAGACGTGGGGTTGAAAGAGGGACTGTTGAAATAAACCAGCCTATATAATTATATATATATATATATACATATATATATATATATATACATACATACATACATACACACACTTTAGAAATGCCTTAACTTTAAAAAGGTTTTTTAAAAAGATGTATTTGTCAAATGAAAGTTAAAAATGCTTTGGAGAAGAGGTTTTGCTTTTATTTCCATAGGAAACAAGAGGCTGTGGATTTGTTCCAAGTTAATATGGATTGGGTTTGATCAAGGGAGACCTCCTAAAACTTGACATGTGTTATCTGTCAACAGAGGTTACCACTGGTCTTCTCAGGACTTGGTCATTATCTCAAATGTCCTGAGGGACCTTAAAGATACTTGGTTCACAGACAGCAGGATTCCATTTGGAGAACAAGATGCCTGCATTCCCCAGAGGGGTGTGGGAGGCTTTTGGTGATTTGGTGGGACCTGGATATTTGTTGTAATTTAGGGAAATGTAGAAATATAGGATAAGAAAACAACTATTAATCTCAGATATTTTGCATTGGCATGGATTTTGGCATATTGATACAAAGTTAAAGTTAATTTTGTTACACTATATATATATGTTTCTACTCTTGTTGGGGTATTATGCTTATGCAGCTCATTTAAAAATGCAATGTATAAATAAATAAACTTGTCATTTAGGTATGTTTTCAAGGTTAAATAGGTATATTTTAGATAGATGATTTTTAAACACTTCAAAGACCTATGGAATATGGCATTTAAAATGCGTTGTTAACTTAGGGCTTTTGCCCTTCTGATTTTTTTTTTTTTTAATGGGTGATTTTGGTTTTCTGAGAACCACATGGACCTGGTGGTTACTAATTCTCAGAATTTTGGCTTCTCCGCAACTGACACATAAAAAAATCACCCAGTAGTAGAGTGATCTACTGAGCTGTGCAACAATGCTTCAACTTTACTCCTGTAGACCTGAAGGCAGTTATATTTACAGTTCATTTGTAACTACTGGAGCCCAGGACATTTTTCTTCTGTGATAGTTGGCTGCTTTATTTCCATGGTCTGCAGTGCTCGTTTGCCACCTTTGTGGGTTCTCACTCTATGCTGAAGGAAACTGCCTGCATGAATCTCTTGAGTGTTCCACGGCCTCTTGTATCATTAGACTGATATCAGTAGTCTGCAGCTTCCAGCATGGCAGACATCATGCAGTAGTAGGTATTTATTCACCAAATATGCTATGTGCTAGGCATTATAGTAAGCTCTGAAGATATCTTGGTGAATTTTACAGGTGGGAGTTGTTGGCTGAATTTAGATTCTGACTGAAAATGGGAACTCATACAGCTTGTAAAATAATACCCATCCCAAACTGTTTGAGGAGTATAACACATCATGGTGTATGGAGTTTTATTTTAATTTTTGTATGTTGTAAGAAATGCATGGCCTAAGAAGGAAATGGTGGTATAATTTTTCCCCTGTTTTCTTTTTCTTTGTAGATAAGATGTTCCAAGTTCCTTGTAGCTCTCTTCGGAAGAAAATCCAGAGTGCTCTCTGCTCTGGCCGTAAGAACAGCCCTGTTTGACTTACACGTTGGTGCTGTGGCACTGGAAGAATTGCACATAGGCTCCAGGAGTTTCTTGTTTTCACTTGAGTGGTTAGTTCTCTGTGGATGGAGAAACACTTGAGTCTTAATTGTTCTGTGTTCAAGGTTTTCTCTATAGTTGGAACTCTATAGTCGGAACTCACTTCCCAATGAGCTACCCAGCCAGTCCTTGTCAGGAGCTGGCTGAGAACTGTGCAGTACATGCCACAGGAATGGCACAGGAGGAGAGCCGTCGGAGTCAGGCGCCACCTGCCTTCTACCGTGGTGCCAGCCAGGAGCTTGACCTGTCCACCAAAGTGTACAAGAGGGAGTCTGGAAGCCCTTATTCTGTGCTAGTGGACACCAAGATGAGCAAACCGCATCTCCACGAGACCGAGGAACAGCCATATTTCAGGGAGACAAGGGCGGTGTCTGATGTGCACACTGTCAAGGAAGACCGGGAGAATTCTGATGACACGGAAGAGGAGGAGGAAGTCTCTTACAAAAGGGAGCAGATCATAGTGGAGGTAAACCTTAATAACCAAACATTAAATGTATCTAAAGGGGAAAAGGGTGTCTCTTCTCAGTCCAAAGAGACTCCTGTTCTTAAGACGAGCAGCGAGGAAGGAGAGGAAGAGAGTGAGGAGGCCACAGATGACAGCAATGACTACGGAGAGAACGAACGGCAGAAGAAAAAGGAGAAGCGCGCGGAGAAAGTCAGGGTTACACAAAGGCGAACCCGAAGAACTGCCTCTGTTGCCGCAGCTGCCACTTCCCCTACACCTCGCACAACTCGAGGCCGGAGGAAGAGTGCAGAGCTACCCAAGCGGAAGAAGCGGGCCACCAAGGAGCCCAAAGCGGCAGTCCAGAAAGCTAAGTGTGAAGAGAAGGAGACCCTGACCTGTGAGAAGTGCCCCAGGGTCTTCAACACTCGCTGGTACCTGGAGAAGCACATGAACGTGACTCACAGGCGCATGCAGATCTGTGACAAATGTGGCAAGAAGTTTGTCCTGGAAAGTGAGCTGTCCCTTCACCAGCAGACAGACTGTGAGAAAAACATTCAGGTAGGTCTCATCACCGAGAGGGCAACCTGGCCAGGATAGAACCTGGCTGTTCAGAGTCATCTGGTGTCTGCCCAAGAGAATAAACACAATAGAGGCTGAAGGGACAGATTTCACCAATGTATCGTTTTAGACGCTGCTGCTTGGGTCTTTTCAAAGCCAAGGCTTAATCTTGTATTTCAAAAGCATTACACTTAACTGACGCTGGACTAGAGGGAACCCAGGTACACTGGAAGGGGGATCTGTTTTAGATGATTGACTGGGATGTAAAGTCAGCGCCGACTTTGCACTGAGAGTCACTGTTGTAGGACCTGTGAGATAATTCGTTCTGGCATCTTCTGTCAAGGTGGCAGATGTTGAGTGAAGGTCAGGAGTAGAGAAAGGTTCCTTTCTATTTAAAGGATGCCAGAGTCTAGTGCAGCTGCTGGGGACAGAAACCATAATGACTCAGACCTGTGGAAATGGAAGATCTCCAGCAGTGAGTCTCCTTTCGCCCGTGGAGAGATGGCAACACTAAATGTGTCAAGAGGCGAGCCCATGGCAATATGCAAACTTTAAACAGAGGCTGAGCTGTTTGAAAATGTTGCTTACCTGACAGTAGGTTACCTAATGTTGCTGTACAGTGTTAACGTGACAAAACCTGGTATTCAAACCAGGCTGGTGTCTTGGAAAGACTGCATTATGACAGGTTGAGAGGTATCGGATGCATTGCAGCTATATCGGTTTGTGCATGTTTGTGTATAAATGTATATTTACACAAGGTAAGTATGTTATGTTTCCATATGTATAGTAATCTACCATTTTGAAGCTAACTTTTTAAAAGATAAATTGTTTTACTTTTGGTTTGGGAACTGCTAATATTGGTGACTACCTTTAATTTTCTCTTTTTGACAATTGTTTTTAAATCAATGACTGAGGTCAGTGCTTTCTCTAAAGAGATTTTTAAAAAATTCACTGGTTTGACTTGTATATCATGATGGGTAATTAATTAAAAGAAGACTCCCCGTGGTGTTCTCCAGCAGGTGCCTGGGCAGGAATTGGTTGCAGGACCAGTTCAACGGAGCATGGTACAGTGCTGCCCCCTAGAGGTTAAACATGGATTTCATAGTGGCTCCTTACTGAAAAGGTGTTGCTCATTCTGTCTCTTGGAGCTGCTTATTTTGTGGGTTTTCTTTTTCCTTTCCTTTTCTTTTCCTTTCCTTCCTTCCTTTCTTTAACTTGAATTTGCTTAAGTTACAGAAAACAACAGTTCTTTTTTATGCTTTTCCTCATTATGGTGTGTTCCCTTTTGTGCCTACTGTTATATGGTTTTGTTGAATGAAAACCTTTCTCATTCCTAGGCTGGTGAGGTGGCTCAACAGTTAGGGGCCACTGCTTTCAGAGGACCTGATTTTGTGCCCAGCATCCACATGGCAGCTCATGACCATCTGTAACTCCAGTTCCAGGGGATCCAACACCTTCTTTGGTCCTCCTTGGGCACCAGACACACATGCAATATACATACATAACAACAGGCAAAACACTCATAAACATAAATAAAAATAAATATTTTTTAGAAAGGAAAACGTTTACATTCCTAAAGAATCTTGTGCTGTGTTTCTTCGTATAGCTCCTAATAATCCTGGCAACCTCATAGTAAGAGAAAATTAACCCTTGCAGAAAAGGTGGTTCACAGGGTGGTCTGTCCTTTTCCAGGGCAGTTTCCAGCCAGCGCCTTGTCTCTGTGTTCTTGGGTTGTTCTCACAGGCAGTGGCAGTGGCATTCAAGGGGCTTTAGTGACTGAGTTCTAAGTTCATTCCTCAGAGCCTGGCACTTGTCAAGAACTGTCTGGTATTGGTTTGTTTATTTAGTTATACTTTATGCCTAATAGTCCAGGGTGCTCATGAGCCATGATTTGAGGAACTAGGCATTATGACATCAGGAGATCTGGAGCTAGGCGAGGGGAGGAAGAGAATGGCCAATGGTTTAGAGTTATATTAGCTTCTGCCAGATGGAAATGGCAATAGTAAATTAGATTTAGGGAAAGTTAGTAAACCTTGAGCATTTGTTACAGAATCTTTCAAATGTGTTTTCTAATGCAGAAGGACATTGCTATATAGTCTTCCAATCTATAATGTTCATATATCATGCCTTTATTTGTGCTAATTTTAAACTTGCTTATGTTCTCTGGTAAACACCTCTTCACTGCATGGCACCCTGGGTAGAGACAACTGTGCTTGCTGGTGTATGCCATAGACAGCAAGCCTGAAGACAGCAAGCTAGACACACTCTAGCAGGTGTGCTGGCATATACTTGTGCTCCCCGAACCTAGGAAATAGAGGCAGGATCACGATTTGAGGCTAGCCTTAGCTAAATAGTAAGTTTGAGGCCACCCTGGGCTATATAGTGAGATACCCTATCTCAAAATCAACAACAACAACTATATATAAACACCAAAGTGGATATTCCTCTCATAAGTACAACACTGAAGTGGTAATAGTATTTAGTTCTTTGTGGAACTTTCCACTTCTTTCCTTAGATTCTGCCATTGTTTGCACACTCCTGTGTATCTAAAAGATGGATCTGGGAAAATAGAACATACAGATGTTGGTGTTGGAATATGGACTCCATGGAAGAATAGTTTTTGTCACGATTCTGATGTTGTACCACTAATCTAAAGTAGATCCATTTCATCTGCCAGGAGGCAGGATGGCCTCCCGAAGCCTCGATAAATAAAGACTCTTTCTGTTTGTCCTGCTCAGTGTGTTTCCTGTAACAAATCCTTCAAGAAACTCTGGTCCCTTCATGAACATATCAAGATTGTTCACGGATATGCAGAAAAAAAATTTGCCTGTGAGATTTGTGAGAAGAAGTTCTATACCATGGCTCATGTGCGGAAACACATGGTTGGTAAGTCTGTCTGCCTCTCTGCTTTTTTGCCTGGGGCAGTCTATTGGGCAGGCTATGTATGTAGAGCCACCATACTGCGGTCTGCGGTCAGTTTTCATTCGTTGAGACTAAGTGCAACCTGTCTTAAGCATCACCAAGTTGGATCCAGTCTTCCCGCCCAGAGTTCTCTTCAGCATTGCTGCTTATTTTCTCTTTGGAGCATTACTGTTAAAGTGCACACCTTATGACGTCTGTCTCTTCAGTATGATTTTTTTTTGGTGAAATCATTTTGATTTAAATGTATTCTGTGTTCCAGCACACACAAAAGACATGCCGTTTACATGTGAAACCTGTGGAAAGTCTTTCAAGCGGAGCATGTCACTCAAGGTGCACTCCTTGCAGCATTCTGGAGAGAAACCCTTCAGATGTGAGGTAAGGAACAGGCCACACACAGGCTAGATCCAAAGCTAGGGTTGTGTTGACAGTGCAGCCGTGAGGGTGGAATGCAGAGTGCAAATCACAAGGCTGTGTACCACTGAAGCTCCGGCTGTGCACCAGGTTTTGGTGTTCTCACTGCTAGGAAGAGAAATGTCCTATTAGCACACAGTTGAGTCTTTAGATTAACTTGGGAGTAATGTTCAGTAATTGACTTTTCTTTCTCAGTGATTCAGAGAAGTTGAATATGAGTCAGTGATAATTACATGAGAGAATTTCCCTTGTATTCATAACTCAACTGCAGGAACATAGAAAATCCAAACAGCTGCTATAAGCAGCTTGTGTTTTGAGTATGAAAATAAACCTGTCAGCCTGTGAGGGTGGGCTGGAGTGGTGCTCTGTGCTTGGCACCCAGCACCATCCTCTGTCCATTGCAGAACTGCGATGAGAGGTTCCAGTACAAGTACCAGCTCCGCTCCCACATGAGCATCCACATTGGGCACAAACAGTTTATGTGCCAGTGGTGTGGCAAGGACTTCAACATGAAGCAGTACTTTGATGAACACATGAAGACACACACTGGTAAGGATCTTGGCAAAGGTACAGAGTGCTTGTTGGTAGTCATCTGCGGGTCTGTCTTTAAACCCAAATCATAAATCTGTATTGCTTTCCTGTTTTGTTTTATCTTGAAGTGAAGTCTTGCTGTGCAGCTCAGGCTGGTCTCAGACTCACAGCAATCCTCCTGCCTTGATATCCCAGGTGCTGAGGTCAGAGGTGTACACCACCATGCCTGGCACAGATATGCTTTGTAAGTGAAAATCTCACTTTAAGCCTGAGACATAAAAGTTAATTTATAATACTGAAATTTTCTCTTTTATAACTATTTTTAAAAGAATTACTAATGTGATTGCCTTTTGAGGGTATTTTTGTTTGTTTGTTTTGTATTTTGTTTTTTAAGACAGACTGTCATACTAGGATTACAGGTATGTGCCACCATAACCAATTATAAATGACTTGGTTTTTTTTGTCTTATTTTTGGGGACAGAGTCTCTCTGTAGACCAGACTGGCCTTGTCTCTACCTCTGGAGTACTGGGAGTAAAGGCATGGGGTTCCACACCCATCCCTCTCAATATTCTTAGAGTTGATTGGATTTGATTTACCAAAATTCAGTACCATTCAAGAAAACATCCACTAAAATGGAATTAAATGCATTTTAACCCTCTATGGATATGGATATGGATATATGCTCCATAGCATTGATAAAAATCCTTTTTTTTTTTTCTTTTTTGTTTTTTTATTTTTTGAGACAGGGTTTCTCTCTGTAGCTTTGGCTGTCCTGTCTAGACCAGGCTGGCCTCAAACTCAGAGATCCACCTGCCTCTGCTTCCTGAGTGTTGGGATTAAAGGCTTTTGCCACCACCACCTGGTGGTAAGAATCTTATAAGCATTTAATTATCCAGCTTCCGGAGACCTGGTTAAAATATTAGCTCCTTTTACAAACACTAGCACTGTCCACAGCTGACTTTGAAATTCCACCAACTGAACTGTATCTGAAGCCCCCAAAATTTTATTTTGTGGTTATAGTTATTGCATAAAATTTTATGATCAGTCAGGCGATGGTGGCGCACAACTTTAATCCCAGCACTCGGGAGTCAGAGGCAGGCGGATCTCTGTGAGTTCGAGGCCAGCCTGGTCTCCAGAGCCAGTGCCAGGATAGGCTCCAAAGCTACACAGAGAAACCCTGTCTTGGGGAAAAAAAAAATTATGATCAGTATTGCTTGGCCAGTAGGCAAGAAATGTTTCTTCCAGAATAATACAGTTCATTTAGATTTTTCTCTTTCTCATTATCAGAGTAACACATACTCTGATTTGGCCAAAATGATGACTCATGACTTTAATCCCAGCACTTGAGAATCAGAGGCAGGTGGATCTCTGTGAGTTCAAGGCCAGCTCACTCAACATAACATGCTCTGAAAATTAGGAACTAAATAAATTAGAAAGAGCACTAATATTTAACCAAATAATAACATTTTGGCTAATTTAACCTATTTTATAATTATTATTTTTTTGTGGGGGGGGAGGGTTTCTCTGTGTAGACCTGGCTGTTATGGAACTTACTCTATAGACCAGGCTGGCCTCAAAAACAGAGATTTTCCTGCCTCTACCTCCCAAGTGCTGGTACTAAAGGCATGTGCCACCAATACCTCGATCCTCTTCTATTTTATTTTATTTTTTTATTTTTTATTTTTTTGGTTTTTCGAGACAGAGTTTCTCTGTGTAGCTTTGGAGCCTATCCTGGCACTCGCTCTGGAGACCAGGCTGGCCTTGAACTCACAGAGATCCACCTGCCTCTGCCTCTGCCTCCCGAGTGCTGGGATTAAAGGCGTGCACCACCAACGCCCAGCCCTTATTTTATTTTTTTAGGAATTATTTATTGTTTTTATTTTATGTGTACAAAGGCATGCACCACCAACACCCGGCCCTTATTTTATTTTTTTAAGAATTATTTATTATTTTTATTTTACGTGTACGAGTGTTTTGACTACATGTATGTATATGCACTGAATGTGTGCCTGGTGCCCTTGGAGGCCAGAAGAGGGTGCTAGATCATCTGGAACTGGAATTAAGGATGATTGTAAACTCATTTGGGCACTGGGAACTCAACCTGGGTTCTCAGCAGAAACCAAGTGCTCTTAACCACCAAGTCATCTCTCCAGCCCAGGATTTAATATATTTAAAAATAATTTTTCCAAGAGTATAGCCAGTGATATAGCATGTGCTTAGCAGGTGCAGACTTAATAACCAGCACCACAGACAAAACAACTTTCAGCTCTTAACATGGTCTAGGCCAGCACTACAGTGCCTACAGTGTCTTTGCAAATGGTAATACGGCTGGGTCCTTATACTCTATCATAACCTGCTTTAATTTATTTATTTTTAGATTAATTAATTTTATATGTATTACTATTTTGCTTGCATGTTATATGTGCACTGTGTGCATGCCTGATGTCTTTGGAGGAGCCGGTATTGAATCCCCTGGAACTGGCGTTCCATATGGTTGTGAGCCACCATGTGGTGCTGGAAATCACACCCAGTTGTCTGGAAGAGTCATTGCTCCAGCACCCTGAAACGTGATTTTTAACCTACTTTATCATATACCATATTATTATCAGCAGTATAATTTTAATGGCAATATAATAGTCCTTCTTGAAAGTTTGCTATGAAAGTAGCCATCATTTATGTACAGGTAAATACCACTGTAATGAATAACATCGTTAATATAGCCACAGTTATTTACTTAGGGTAAAGCTCTGGGGATGAGGTTAACAGGGCCAAGAGACGTGAACATTTCTCACCTGGTGGTGTGTATTACAAAGTTACCTTCCTCATCTGTCTCACCACGTGTGCATGAAAACCACTTCTCCAACCGAAGAGCTAGGGCGCCCCTTCTGCCTTGATAAGTGAGAAATGGTTTCTTGTATTAATTTGTACTTGTAACTACTAAATAAGATTGAATTTTTTTCACTTGTTTATCAAGTAGTAGTATCTTTTCTGAATTGCTTGTGCCTTTTGTGTTCCTCTTTCTTACTGTTGACAGTAGGTCTTGACATGTGAAGTATATTAGACTTTGTTTAAACATCAGTATTGGAGTACGTCCCATCCTGGCTTTCATCTGCCTTTCAGTATTGTTTGTAATGCTAAAGCTGGTGGGTCTTCACTAACCTCACTAGCAGAACTGTTTGATGGCATTAAATAATGACTAGTGCCTGAGAGAGTACAGGATAGGACAAGAGAGAAAGGCTGGAGGAAATGGCATTTGTAGGTAGCTGTCTGTTTGGGTAGAATCACACCCATTGTGGGAATTGGCATTGATTTACTTCTTTGCAGTTAAAATAAGGCAGATCTTACCTGGGAAGCTGGCCACCATCAGGCAGGTTCCTAGTATAGTCTGGGCTCAGGGTAAGTTCAAAGCAGAATGTTTGTTGATTGCCCTCCTACCACGTGCACAAAGACACAAGGGCGAATGAAGACCTGGTCCCTGCCCTGTAGGAACAGTCCACGGGATGACAACAGTGATAGTGACAGTGACGGAGGCTGAAGCACTCTGGCACCTGTGTGCTGGATGCTCCTCTGAGCACCAGCTTGTGTCTATTCCAGTGACCACTTTGGGGGCTGTTATCTTTATTTTCCAAATGAAGAAACTGAGGTTAAAGAGTCAATAATTTGCTCAAGGCAGCCTTTGCTCTCAACTGGGCACTCAATAGTTCTCTTATTATTTAATACGTAGCAAATAATAAAACAGGGTATATTGGACATTAAAAACGTAGGAAGCAGCCGCGTGGTGGTGGTGAACGCCTTTAATCCCAGTACTCAGGAAGCAGAGGCAGGCTGATCTCTGTGAGCTCGAGGCCAGTCTGGTCTACAAAGCTACATAGAGAAACCACACCCACACACACACCCACACACACACACACACACCCACCCACACACACCCCCCCCCCCCCCAAGAAAACAAAAATTAAAGGATCACCATGGGGTCCAGTTCTTGGACTCTAGGATTTGTTCACTGTAATCAGCATTGTTCACTGTAATCACTCAAGATCAGAGGTTCTTAGATGTGCTACCTGGTCCTGATGATGTCAAATTGCTTGTTTATTATTTATGAATGGCAAGTAATTTGGAAGGCTTCTTATTATTATTATTATTATATGCATACGGATGTTTTGCCTGCATGTGTATCTGTGTATCATGCTTGCTTGATAAAGAGGCCAGAAAAGGGTATTGGATCCCCTGGGACTAGAGTTGTGAGCTACCATGTGGGTGCTGAGAATTGAACCCAGGTCCTCTGGAAGAGCAGTCACTGGTCTTAACCATGTGCCATCTCTCAGCCCAGGTCTTTTTTGTTTGTTTGTTTCTGTCCTAGGGATTGAACTTTAGGGTCTCAACATGTGCTAGTCAAGTTCTCTACTGCAGAGCTACATCTTCAGCCCAGGCCAGAACTGTTAATGCCTTTTGGTCAACATTGTTTGCCTAAACTAAACTCTATCTTAGAAGCTGAATTATGAGAAGATTGCCAGGGATAGAGAATTAGCAAAAGAAGGTAATGTAATGATCTAAATGGTGATCGACATACTGCATTGAATCCAGGTTGCCATCAGTTGTAAAATTAATTAATTAATTTATATGCTGCTGAGAAAAAAAAAATGTTACGAATTAGACAGTGAAATGCCATTGAATATAAGGTAAATGATAGTTTCAGAGGCATTAAAATGTGGGGAGAAATCTGTCTTTATTTATTTATTTTATTTATTTATTTTGGCTTTTCAAGGCAGGGTTTCTCTGTAGCTTTGGAGGCTGTCCTGGAACTAGCTTTTGTGGACCAGGCTGGTCTTGAACTCAACAGAGATCCCCCTTCGTCTGCCTCCCAAGTGCTGGGATTAAAGGCATGTGCCACCAACGCCTGGCTCTGTCTTTACATTTTTAAAATTTGTTTATAAATATTTATTAAAAGCCTACTAAGGCCAGGCATGGTGGTGCCACCTTTAGTCCCAGCACTTGGGAGGCAGAGGCAATCGGATCTCTCTCTTATTCAAGGCCAGCCTGATCCACATAGTGAGTTCTAGGACAACTCAGGCTGCTAGAGAGACTCTGTCTCAACAAACCAAAAGTGGGGAGAAGAGCCTCCTGAATGAAGCTACGGTGGTAAGAAAGATTGAGGTAGCCCTTAGCCCCACAAAACTTATACTCAGGCTGGATGGGGGTGTAGATGAGCAAAGCCTGATGGCAGTTTTGTGCTGACAGTTTTCGAGTCTGACTGCGAGTTTTCGACACTGAACTGCGAGTGTCATGGATGTGCTGAGAGGCAGGGAGTGTAGCACATGACACCGAAGGGCAGTGAACAAAGACTGTGACATAAAGAAAGAGCCCTTTAACCTCATAGGAGCCCTTTGCACTTAGAACAGTGAGAAAGGTGTGCTGTTGTGTGGTGTGTGACACCGTGTTTTGAGCCTTCACCTGGGCTCTAGTGTGCGGAGTGAAGGGATCAAGACAGCAGATGGTAAAAGCAGTGAGGTGAAGTAAGGGTTAGTCCCAGAGGGTCTAGAATATCTTCTAGGCACAAAATAGTGGAGAGTGGAGTGGTTTGCTAGATAGGGTAATGAGTTTAACTTCCTTTTGTCAGTTTTGAGATCTGTGGATCATTGACGTGGGAGTAAGCAGTAAGCAGTGTGAGAACAGATTGACGTGACACAGATGGACGGATGGATTCTGACGCTGCCCAAAGATGCTCACGCTACGCAGGCAGGGATGCTTGGGGTTGTGGGACAGATCGCTCTCCCCTTTGCACCGTACAAATCCTTTTCTATCTTCCCTGCAGATTCTTTTTCATTTATAATGCCCTTCTTTAGGCTGCTTACAGTAGTGCTTCTCAGAGCTGGGTCAGCCTTGTCTATTAGGTTGGTAGATCTCTAGATAAGTTATGTACATGCTTTCCTAGTTAGCTTGGTGATTTAGCTCTTCCCCCTCAGCCACATTTCCTAGTCTTCTTTAAATTAGAGCATGGAGCAGTGGTTGACTTCAAATGTTGCATTTTTATTTTAAGCTTCAGAGTAACCTTAACACCAACAATTAAGCACAATTAAGCAAATTAATAATGAGTCTGGGGTGGGAGGGGTAATGGGTTTATATCAAGTGAAGGCATGGGACAAAAATGTGGAAATTTTTGCTAGTATATTAAGAAGTAAAAGATTGGCCAGGTGGTGGTGACACACACCTTTAATCCTACCACTTGGGAGGCAGAGGCAGGCAGATCTCTGTGAGTTCAAGACCAGCCTGGTCTACAGAGTTAGTTCCAGGGCAGCCAGGGATACACACAGAAACCCTGTCTCAGAAAAAAAAAAAATTTAAAAATAAAGAAGAAGAAATAAAAGATGATGAATGCAGTAAGATTTTCATTTGAAACATGGATTTGTAATCAGCCCTAATTCCTTTGGAGCTTTCTATGGCAAGTCGAAATGCCCAGGGCATTATTGTGAGTGGAGATTATTAAAGAGATCTCAAAAGCTAAACATGTTTATTGAGAACGTTCAGTCTGTTCTCCTTGTGAGTCAGGTGAAGAGCATATACTTTCTGGACTAGTTGGTCAGATGAGGTCCTTTTACTGTGTCCACATGGCTGCTGCAGATGAGGAACAAGGACTTTGAGAGCAAGGATGGGAGGTCAGGGCTGAAGAAGGTAGCAAAAGCTGTGCTTTTAAAATTTTTACTATGAAACAGTCCTGTTTCCCAGAACTCAGGAGGTTGAAGTAGGAGGATTGCCATGAATTTAAGGCCAGCCCAGACTACAGAGTAATTACTAGGCCAGCCAGAGCTACATAGCAAAAACCTATCTTTAAAGATAATAATAAACATTTTATTGAATAAGTCATGTTTATTTCAGCAAAGAAATACAGACAAGTATTTAAAATAAGAATGGGAACTGGAGAGATGGCCCAGTGTTGAAGAGCACTTAGTGCTCTTATAGAAAGCCTGGGTTCAGTTCCCCACAACCGTCTGTAACTCAAATCTAGAGGTTCTTCAACCCTCTTCCGGCCACTGTGGACACCAGGCACAAATGTGGGGCATACATGCAGGCAAAACACTTAGACACATAATATATGTGTGTGTGGTATGTGTGTATGCATGTTTGTTTAAAAAATAAGGCTGGGTGTGGTGGTACTTGCCTTGGTAATACCAGCACTTGGAAGTCAGAGGCAGCTGAATCACTGTGAGTTTCAGAGCAGCCTTATCTACATATGGAGTTGAGGGCCAGCCAGAGCTACATAAAAACAAAGCACAACAACAACAATAATAATAAAAACAAGAAAGAATGAACCATCTGTAATCCTGTTACCTAGAAGTCCTAGAAGTAATCTTGGCAACACAACGTATTTCTTTCCATATCTTTCCTGTGCATATTTTACATGAAAGTGATTAATGCTATGCAATATCTTCATAAGTTGCTTGTTTTGTTTTACTAATAGATTATAGATACCTTTGCATAGATTTCATGTTAATAATTATATTTCTATACTACCTACAATTGTTTCCAATGGCATTTATCTAAATTATGACTAAAACCACTTATTATATAGTTTGAAGAGTTTGTTTGACTGACTGTTTGATTACTTATATTTATTTGGGGGTGGGGATGAACTTGTGGCATGGAACATTTTTATAGAGGTCAGAGACTGGCTTTTGAGGTCAATTCTCTCCTACCATTGGGGATCTCAGGCGTGGCAGCAAGTCCTTTACCCCCTGAACCGTCTCACTGGCCATATTTGAAGTTTTTAAGATGATTAAAGGAAAACTAAGCATGCTGACACAAGCCTGTGATACCAGCACTTGGGAGGTGAGGTGTGTAAATTACAAGTTCAAGGTCACCCTTGACTCCATAGGAAATTTAAGGTCCCCTTTAGGATGTATGAGACTGTTTCTATGGGGATGGGGGAAATGATTGGAGGAGCCAGGTGTTTGTGCTTCATACCTATATCCCAGCACTCTGGAAGCGAAGGCAAGAGATCGTGAGTTCTGAGCCAGCCTGAGATACATAATGAAACCCTGGAGAAGGGGGTGTGTGTGTAAAGAAATGGATTAAAAAGAAGCCAACCTAGGCTCAGCAAAGGCTCTTCAAGGGGACACGGGCTCCATCTGACTCTTTAGTGGGTAGGGTGGAGTTCTGGCTTCAGTGGAAGGAGGCAATAGGAGATCCAGCTTTCTACTAGAAGAAGAAAGAAATTGGACTGTGGTGCAGGTGAAGAGGTTTTTGCTCCTGATTATGGGGAGGAGTTGCAGAAAAAATAGTAAGAGAATGCATTCTTTCATGCACGTAGAAATATACCCACAGGGTGTGAAATGCTGTGGCTTCTGTGTCAGCAGCACAGACTCTGGGAGCTAGACTGAAGGGTACCTGACAGATCACCTTGCGCAAGATATCCGGCAGACTGTAGGGACAGCATACTACCTCGTACAGTTGCTGTGAGAATGGAAAGCCACCAGATGTACTGACTGGAGTAGAGACTGGTCCCTGGAATAAGACTCAATACACAGTGGAGTGGGCACACGTTGCAAGGAAAGTGGGTGGGGGGTGGGGATGGCTAAAGTCAACCGGCCAGCAGTACTTAGTTCACTGAGACAAGGTGCCCATAGGCCACACCTGCAGTACCCATCACCACCTCTAATTTTCCTCCTCTTCCCCTTCCAGCACGGTAGATTGTAAGCTGTACTTGTGCCTACTGTGACCTGTCAAGTCTCAGTTTGGGGAACAAGTGCAGAGGGGGAAAGCCTGAGTGACAGGTGCACATCTTTACACTCGGAATATCAACCCTGTTTGTCCTTGCCCGTCTCAGGAGAGAAACCTTTTATCTGTGAAATCTGTGGCAAAAGCTTCACCAGTCGACCCAACATGAAAAGGCACCGCCGAACTCACACAGGCGAGAAGCCTTACCCCTGTGACGTGTGTGGCCAGCGTTTCCGCTTCTCCAACATGCTGAAGGCCCACAAGGAGAAGTGCTTCCGAGTGACCAGCCCAGTGAACGTGCCGCCCGCTGTCCAGATCCCTCTGGCCTCAGCGCCCGCTGCTCCTGCTCCAGCTGTGGCCAGCACTCCCACGAGCCCAGCCCCTGCAGTCAGTATGAACCCCGTGGGTGGCGCGCTTCCCTCCAGGCCCGTCCCACACCCTTTCTCACACCTGCACATCCCCACACACCCTCACCATGCGCACCACCTCCCCATCCCACCCGTGCCTCACCTGCCCCCACCTCCAGCCCTCTTCAAGAGTGAGCCCCTAAACCACAGAGGCCAGAGTGAGGACACCTTCCTGAGGCACCTGGCAGAGAAGAACAACACTGCCCAGGCTCAGCATCATTAGCGCCAGCTGGAGTGACATCCCCACGGTGAGTTGGCCGAAGGGGCGCAGCTGTGCCTCTCTGGGTTCTCCTTGTCTCCATGGCCTCCTTCAGGACCTTCCCCATTGTCCTGGCCGACCATCAGACTGACCAGAGGGAGCCAACAAGAATTCCGCCCTCACAACCAGGGGAACCACCAAACTAAAGCCCAATTTGCTTGCATTTTCTGATGACTTTTATAAATTTCAGATACTCAGACTGTGGGATTTTATAATTTCATATCAGCGGATGAGGTATGCTTGCTTTCATATCCTGGTCTTCTCCTCAACGAGGGGCAGGCCTGGTTTTGTTTATACTGATCGGGAAGGCTGTGAGATTAATCCAGAGCATTAACTGTATCACTGTGTATTGTAATGAATTCTTTTCAGCTTTGGTGCTGGCTGCAGTCAAGCTGGCCATGTTTCACACAATATCAAGCATTATAGAGAAGATGGGAATTTTCTTCTTTGTGTAGCTCTTTTAACACACTCTTTATTTTACTACAGAAATTATTTTAGAGTTTTTGTATAGACTTTAGTAGTCTGTTTCTAAAATGAAATGTATTTCAATAAGCTGTGTAATTTTTTCAGTGTAGCTAAACCCATGTTGTAAAATAGATAAATTTTTTATAATCATCAAAATGTGATTCTTAAAGATGCATATAATAACTTCTATTTCAAATTTATTCTTAACATCCGTACAACTCAAAGGTGCTTCTGAGACTGGGTGAAGGTCACCAGACCAGGTTACTACAAAAGTAAGGTTCATAAGTACTCAGTAACTTGAAAATCTTTGCTGGGCATTCAGTCCATCAGACTCACTGACATGCTCCATTCTTGGTGTCTGTCCCTTTGAGCTCCTCTATGGAGTCAGTGAGGTGGTGTGCTGGAATAGGGTCACCAAAAGCTTACCTGGTTTGAAAACCTGAGTAACGTTGTGAATAGCTTCAGAAGGAAGTGGCGGAGGTTTCCTTTTGATCACGCCTGTTTCTCACTTCTCTTAGGATCTGTGTCATGCTCAGCTGTTAGGGGAAGATAAAGTGAAATCTTATTTTGAGGTTGCTGTGTTTTCCAAGAGTTGTTAGGAGAAGCTAAAATGGTGAACTGAAATCACAAACGTAATTGCTGATAGTAGCTGAGAAGACAAATTGGCTTTTTAAATTTTAAAATGTCTGCAGTCTCTAAAATGTGGGTGTCCAGAGCTGACTCCATCTGCCGTTTCAGCTGTAGGAAACCCCCAGTATTGCTGGCCATTCTCTGCAGATAGGTGTGGTAGCAACATCCTAGCTGAGGAAGGAGCAACACCCCTGCCTCTGCCTCTGGGCAACTCACTCGGTCAAGAATTGGGGAACTTCCAGAGTATGGTCACCCTGGAATGTATTCTACGGAAGGCTCAAGAGAAGCGCTGACATAGTGGTTTCAGTTAGCTGGCAAATGTGGGCAGCGGAGCTACATTTCATACTTCTTCACCGTAGAGACTGAGTTCCTTCTACTCCTCTCCTTTTTAAGAATCTCAGAATTCCCTCATCTCTCTCTTTCCCCAGGCTCTTAAATCAAAACCTTAGCTGTTACTTATTTATCTTTGGTATTAAATGTGCAGATATGTGTCGTGCACTTTTTTTTCTGGCCACTTAACTCTGCAGTGGGAACACATGGACTCTGGATTGAGGTTAGGTTCTACTTTTAAGTATCACACTCTACATTAGTTTTTTTGGTTTAGTAGTTCTAGACTTACTCTAGTTTTACCATTGTCTTCTATAATGTGTAGGAACAATTGTGTGCTGAGGCAGAAAAGTATCTCAGGACACACATTTCCTCCAGTTCAAGGTGTAAATTTTAATGGATGGTAGTTTTAATATTTGCATACATTCTTGCAGCCCCCACATACTCAAGCCAAATAAGGAATCCAGTTCCTAGTTTCTGTTTTTGGCTTTAGAGGCTCTCTGCTCACCTCCATCATCTCCATTGTATCCCACGGGCAGTCTGCAAATCTACACTTTCATGCAGACAAACCAATATTTCATGGTTGAGCCTACAATATTAAAATATTTTTTGTCAGAAGGTATAAACTGTAGCTTAATTAATTGGTCATATCTTATTTTGTACTAAATAATTTTACAATATTGGGCAGAGATTCTGGATTCTAGACTTGAGGCTGTTGAATCAACCATTTTATGGTTGGTTGTACTACAAATACTCATTGAAAAATTCAGGTAGTCCGTTCCGATTTTTTTTTTATTCAAATGACTATAGCCATAAGAAACTGTCTGCTACATAGGGAATCCAGTAGTAGCTCAATAACCACCACAATCCTTAACAGAAGCAGGAAAAAAGGAATTTTAAAAAAATGAATTAGCACTGTCACACTGTAATGTATTGTGGAACAATCTAGAAATGCCAATTTTTTTATTTTTATTTTTTTGCTGGATAAGTATATCTTCCCTGACTTGGGATTTGTAAGAACCCTGCTCTAAAAAGTGAATCTCCTCATTGTCATGTGTGAATAACGAGCATATGAATAATGAATCCACACAGAAATGCTTTTGAGTGCAGGAACACAGGGTTGAGCCTTAAACATGCAGGTGCATTGGGCTTAGCGTGCTGAAGACTCAGACTCAGGGTTGAAGTGTGCTTGGGGTCCACTACTAAGATAAAGCTGCGTTGTGTGGTGTGTTCTCCCACGAGTTCTGCAGAACCTGTTCAGTTCTTGTTATCTGTTACGAAAAAAGGCGGTAGAGGAGTTTGAGTTCTAGGCCCATATCTATACTTTGGTCTTGTAAAGACATAGGCCACATTTCAGAATAACAGATATTAAATTGAGGCTTTCTCATTGTCATTTTATGCTATCTTCAAAGGCCTGTATCATTACTAGGGTTACTTTATCTTCAAATGGTTTTTATTGTTGCAAGGATTACTTATTTACTTATACGTAGACCAGGCTAGCTTCAAACTCACAGTCTGAGGACTGACTGGGTCTAAAGGAGTGAACCACAACAGCCAACACCCAATATCTTTTTGTTGTTGTCTTTTTTTCTTTTCTTTTTTTGAGACATGGTCTCACTAAATACCTAAGTTGGCCTTGAACTCCCTTGAGGACCATGGTAGCCTCAAACCAATGACTCCCCCCCACCTTGGTTTCCCAAGTGCTGGGATTACGAATGCCTGCTTCACCCTTCCTGGCTTCCACAAGGACATTTTTGAGTTGGCGTTACATTTTTAGAGGTTGGGTTATGCATCTTTTGTTCTTTTCTCATAGATTTGTCATTTGGATGCAAACTTTTTTAGCCTAATGAAAGACTGTTGCTCTCAAATTGAATCAGGTAGGCTCATACTGGGTTAGATTTTTAAAACTTAATGAAAAGAAGATGAACCATTAAAGGCATGTGGCTTCATTTTTAGATATTATTTTTTGCTTGATTCTTATTTTTAGCAAATGGTGAAGTCTCCACATAAAACTTTAATAAAGTTCAAAGACAACCTTGAAAATCATTTTCATGTACTGTCTTAGTAACCCTCTGACCAGTCCTTCAGCGTGGGCCCTTCTGGAGTTGTCCTGTCTAAGAACCTTGTCTATTGGAAGCGTCCTTCTGAGCTTGACCCCCCTGCCACTGCTAACAAGAGGCAAACTCTCTGAAGCTTTGAATATTTAACTTCTTAAAATTTGTTTCAGTTTTTATTATTGTTGAATGGATATGTGTTTAGTTTTGTTTTTATCTGACTGGAAGATTTAAAGCATAAGACTATGAAGCAGAGAACTCTAGTGCATGGAGTGAGAGAGATCCACATACACACACACATGATATGTATGTGCACATACGTATATATGTACAGATATGTATATGGATTTCTCCCCTCTTGGAGATTTTGGTTAGGAAAACACACTATGGTAGGTGAGTTTTTGTGTTAAAGAGAAAAACTAAAATTTGCATTAAAAGAACCCTATTTTAGTTAAAGGGACCCTCTGTTTAAGCTACTGTATGGAAATGCCACTTTTGTTACTTTGAATGGTCCGCATGATATGGATTTTGACGCTGTTCTAGACTGTATGTGGAACCCATCATGAAAAGGTTGTGTTAGATCTAACCATTTTAGCAACTTAAAAAATCAGCTGTGATTCTTAAAACTCTAAGGCTGAGCAAAGAATTATCAGGTTTTAAGTTTTTTTTCTTAGTTTAAGTTAGAAAATTTCCCCGAAGTTCTCTCTCTCCATCCTTTTTTCTCTTTTTCAGGAATAAAAGGTCATTAGCCATTAGAAATGGTGGCATTTGTTATGCAATAGCAACTCACTAGCTAGTCCGCTCCTGTCATCTGTAGCACTCATGAGAAGTAATGCTGACCTTCTAACCCTGGAACTACCTCGATAAAGCAACCCAGAGATCCTCGCACACACTTTCTATGGAAGCCATAAATGCGTCAATATGTCCACCTTCACAGTTCTATACTTTTATACTCGACAGACTTTTTTTATGGACTTAGATCAGACCTTTTCGTCTTAGAGAATAGCTTTTGCAAGACTCCAAGGAAAATCAAATTCCCTAAATGTCCCAACTTTGAAGTCTAGCTTTGGTAAATTTGTTTAAAGAACCAGATGTCATGTCATTCAAGAAAAAAAAATCATATGTTTAAATTAAAACTGCTTTGCAGACCTACGTATTGTGAAAACAAATTCCTTTTTCTTGTTCCCTAAGTCGAGGCCGTGTTGTGAGAGGGGGGCCCCCCCCCCCCCCCCCCCCCCCCCCGTTAACTCAGTGTTCCTGGTTGATTCGTGCATAGTGACAGTTTTCCTGGAGTTGTTTCTGTTACTGTAGCACAGGCGCAGTACCTGTTTGTCTGATCGGTCATTCTGCTGTCTGTGCAGCTTTAGTCTCCATCACTCTGCTCTCGAGTGCCTTCAAAAAGCCCATGTCCTGGAATCTTCTTTCCCTGGTCTGGATCCTACCTCTGATTGTTTCATTCTCCGTGAGTGTTGGAATTCACCCCTATTCCAAAGGGCTTACTCACAAACTTGCTAAAATCTGGCTGAGGATTGTAAACACAGCTGTGCTCTGTTCCCCATGTCACTGCTGAGTCCCCGTTTGTAGCTCCTCTTTGTATCTTACTCCCCGCATACAACACCTCCAGTACTAGAGCCCTTCTGTCCTCTGCCCTCTTTCCCTTTCTCTCACCACAGGCTGCTGTGTGTCAGCCAGTGTGTCTCTGGGCTATCTTTTTCTCAGCTCAAGTCTTCCTGGATGCCTACCCTCTGGAACTAAAGGAATAGCGAATGCTGCTGTTGCTACACATCCTCTCTTTCATAAATGCTTTACAGGGTTCCTCCTGTGATCTTAGTTTAGTCATAGGAACTTAAAAGTGCCCAGGGTTTAACAAGAGTCCTTTTTGTTTTTGTTTGTTTGCTTTTGGATTGGCCGATCTCATCCAGCCACCTGTCCCCTTGCAAACCCCAGTTTATTTTCTTTTCTATTTGTCCTCTTATAAGTCATTTAAAAGTGTTATTGGTGTATAATATATGAAAGATGTAATAAAAAGGAAACTGAAGTGTGTTCTGTGTGTAGTAATGTGCACTTCCTTGCTAAAAATTACTTTAGCAACTGACTGGTCTTTGACATCCCAGATTAAAGCTTGTGCTATGTCATGGGTTGATTGTCCCCTCCTAAAGTGGAAATGGATGAACTCTTTCAGTGAGGAAATTGGATTTTTTTTTATAGGTAAATAAACACTAATGAATATTTTGACCTTAGTCAAAATCTTTGCTTTCTGACTTACAATCTCTTGCCTCTTTCCTGAAAGTTATTAGTACTGAGGCATCCAGGATGGGTAGCTTCTGGAGTAGGAATCCCATAGGGCAGCTGTTGATAAATTTTTAAGATTTTTTGTCTGGGAACATACAGGATGTTAATTGGTGGGACAGTACCAAATTGTGAGAATTGGTTTGATAATACAGAAGACAAGACATTTGAATGTTTCACTGCTGTTTAGAATGAGAGCAGTATGCAGGCCATAAGAGGTAGGCTCTGTGCTGTGGAAATCATTGACCTATCCCTGGATGCCTACAAGTACCCGCTTTGAAACTCTCCAGAGAACCCCGGCATTCAGATAGTGCAGAGACATACTTACATCACTAGGAGGAACTTCAGCCTTTGAAAAGGCTGGCTGCTTGTTTTGGGAGTGTATTTATTAGGGTACCTTTGGTCATGTATCAAAGGACATTCTTTCCCCTCAGAGGTGTTTCTGTGGCTTAACTCCAGGTTACCTTCATCCTATTTGAGCTCCTCTGAGACCAGGAATGTGACAGATTACTTGAAAATGATTTTTATAGGAAATGGAGATGCTCAAAAAGGTCTGGAAGCTGGGTTTTGCTTACCATCAAAAGGAAATCTGATGCTTGTGTTGGCTAGTTTCAGTGGAGTCAAGAGAAGGGAGCGGCTTGTTTCTGCACACAGCCTCTCCAGTCTTCCTTGCAAGTGAAGGGGGCCGTGGAGCCAGAAGCAGAAGGGTCTCGCTCACACCCTGCATAGGATCTGAGACTTCTTGGCAGCATTGGAAGGTGTCTTTCCATACATGATTGATCACTTGAGTTAAGTCAAAAAGAAAGAAACAGTGTAGTGTGGTGTGTTTACTTCTCAAGTTATATCATCAGATACGTGGCCTCAGAAAATCAAATGAATTATTTTCCACAAGTTTGAATATGAGTAATTTTTTCATTTCTTGAGCTGATTCTATTCCATCTGTGGCAGTACTTGTTTTGACCACAAAGGGGCAGTAAAGTACTTCTCAACTTCTGGGATATCCCTTGGCTCACTGATTGGATTTGACTAAAGCATTCTCACATATCACTAACTTCAATGGATGCTCAGGCCTCGTGATGGGAGCAGAGATTCCTGGGTCTGAGGTTCGTGTGGGTCAGCAGCATAATCATCCAGCCTTTGTGAATGTTGGTGACATGAGATTGAAAGCTAGGCCCTCATCATGAAGGAGCCTGTGCTTACTAAAGGCAGAGCTAAAAGGCGGCCCTCTTCCCTATCTCCTCCCTGCGTCAGCACATCTGTGACAGCCGTGGGGTCCTCTGTAGGACGTGTAAGCACATGTGCTCTCCCCTCCGTCTGCTCCAAGCTGGTGCCTTGTCATGGGGAGGTCTCCCACAGCAGGCACCCCCATCAGGACAGATTTTGGCCCAGCCCTCTCCATCAGTTCCTTGTCTTTGGGCCCCCTGGTCTTCATCAGCTCTCTGGGAGTTTTGACTGCTCAGATGAATAGTTGGTTATCACCAGAGGAAACACCAGCCTGTGGGCATTTACCCTGTAGGATCAGGAAGCGCTTACCTGCGAAAGGGCGTCCCTCACTGCTTCCTCCCTGGTCCCTTTTCCCCAGAAAGACCCAAGGACCCAATCAGTGCCAGAAGTAGAGTGGGGGTCCTTGTCATCCCAGCACTAGACAGAAGCAGAACGGAAGCAGGTGGTAGGCAGATGGCTTTCCCCATAATGCTGAGGTTACTTGTACTTTCTCATTTCTTAAAAGGAAGTCCAGTTTGCTTGCCAGGAATCCTTAGCCTTAGGTTTACAAAGCTTGCTGTTGAATGTTTGTCCAAAGGAGTGTGAGAAGAGAGAAGCTGCTTGGTTCCAGTCCTGCCTGCAAGGTCAGAAGGTTGACTGTCTAGAATTCGACAATGTCTCCCTCTTGTCTCTGCAGAGGTTAAGACAGGTTGAGACTAAGTGAGGAAAAGTGTCTGTCATGCTGTAAAGAAGCCTTCAGGGGGAGTGTGGGGGTGACAGGTGGGTGGGACAGGATCTCTTGAGATGGGAAGGATGGGAGAGGAGGGCTTCTTGGCCCAGGGAGCTGCGTGGTGGGCTCTGAACTGGCCCACAATTCCTGGCTTCCCTGACTCATCTTTTTCCCAGCATCCTGTCAGATCTCCTGGTGTGGTAATTTGCTTCTTGTGTTAAGTATACCAATATTATTTTTTTAGCAATTGAAATGCACTTTTTTATTTCAACTCAATCATGATTTTAAGTATAAAAATTTATAGATTGTTAAAACTACTTTTTTGTGTATTTTTAACCACTCGATGTAGCATTGTATATTTTATTCTTATTAAGACTCTGGTACAAGGTGTGCCATTTAATGATTTTTTTTTCCCCAACATGCTGGGCCTTTGGATGTGTACGGTAACCAACTTCATGCTAATGTTCAAAGTAAAAAAAGAAGAAAACGCAGCCATATTTCTATGTGTCTTTCTTCATTTCTTCCGTAAGTTCAGATGACATTCTGAGGGTCTGGTCTCCTGATCAATGGTTGTTCCTTTTATGTAAAATAATCATGCAAGCCACCCCTCGATTATTGGTTGGTATCTCTAGTTGGTAGCACCTGTTCCCAAGCCCCAAATCCTGCCTGATCTTTTGTGAATAACGTACTTCCTGTCCCCGCCCACCCAGTCCTGGTGACTGGGTCTTGTCCACGTTAGGTCAGCTGTATGGCTGCCACCTCACCAGTCTCTTCTCACATTGTACAGGGTCTCACTAAGTTGCCCAGGCTAGCCCAGAACTCAGGCAGGTCTGAGTTCAGCTTGCTGTCCTCCTGTCTCAGCCTCTGGAGTATCTGGATCACAGGCCTGTACCCCCGGGTCCAGCTGAGGGGCATGCTTCCAAGGCGACCAACCACAGTTAACCCACTGTCATCTCTGCATTGATGCTCCTCGGCTGCTGTAACACTGCTCTCACCAGCTGAGCAGTAATCAGGATTTCTGACAGGGGTATTTGGGGAAAGGATCAGGATTGGTATGACCCAGCCAGAAGAATAAACACAGGTGCAAACAGCTTAGCTGGTATAGTCAATTGGTGGCAGCCATTAGAATTCAGTACCAGATGAGGCTCCCTCCCTCACCTCTACCTGGTCCATCCCTCAGCGAGTCATGCCACGAGTGTCTGTTGAGTGCTTGATGCTGGCCAAGGACCAGAGAGTCAGCAATGGGCAAGGCAGGGATGCTTTCCATGGAGGAAACCTGACAAACGTGTGACGGCTGAGCCTGGAGCCCAGGCCTGTAATTTAGCCACTTAGGAGGCTGAGGCAAGAGGATCACAAGTTCAAGTGAGAGCCTGTCTTAAACTAAAACCCAAAAGGAGATCAAGGGATGGTTTGGGTGATCAGAGTATTTACCTAGCATGGGTAAGGTCCTGGGTTCTATGCCTAACACACACACACACACACACACACACACATACATTAAAGTCATGTAATGCTGTGTCAGGTGATGTGGGTCCCGGTGACCTGAAGCATGCCCTCTGAGATAGGGCTGTGCCAACTGGAAGATAAGCCAGCCTGTCACAAGCCTTCCCAGCTGGCATCCACCCTGTTTGTTCCTTTTTACAGGATTCCAATTAGGGACTCCAGTGTCTCGGAAGGAAGCCTCATTGTTCACATTTCCCTCTGAAACCTCTTAGAATGGAACAGAGCTGAACAGATCACAGAGTTGCCATTTTATTCTCTTCTTTTCTATAAGATTTGTTTTATTTGTGTGTTGTGGGGGGGGGGGGTTCCTAGGAGGCCAGAAAGATGGTGTCAGTCCCTGAAGCTGGCTGGTGGCTGTGAGCTGCCTGATGTTAACCACTGAGTCATTTCTAGCCCTCTTGTATCTCTGACAGGTATTAACACGCTCTTTTATTGGGGGGGGGGTTGATTTTGGTTTTGGTGGGTTTTGTTTTATTTTTGAGACACGTTCTCACAATAGCCATGGTTGGCCTGAAGCTCCCTGTAAAGATCCACCTGCCTCTGCCTCCTCAGTGCTGGGATCACAGGGTGCGCCACTATGCCAGCTGGTTTTGAGATAGATTTATGTAGTCCTGGCTGTGTACTGCTTGCTGTGTTGTTTGAGGGTAACACTGAACTCCTGTTCATCCTGCTTCCAGTTCCCAAGTGCTAGGATTAGAAGTGTGTGCCACCATGCTTAGCAACCCATTTTTCTTATTAGTACATACAGAAGCTTCCTCTACCCCAGCACACATTACATCAGTGGCTTTTAGACTTTGACCACAACTTTAGTAAGAGATATATTAGACACCCACAACTAATCACCGAACTGAATTGAAACCCAGATTCAGAGAAGGACAAGTGAAGAGTACAGAGGTCCAGACCAGGCTGGTGAAACCCACAGAAACAGCTGACCTGAACATTGGAGAACTCTTGCTCCCCAGACTGATAGCTGGGATACCAGCATGGGACTGATCCAGACCCCAGGAACATGGGTTTCAACGAGGAAACCTTGGAAATATGCGGGACCTCCTGTAGTAGTTCAGTACTTATCCCTAGCATAGGTGTGGACTTTGGGAGCCCATTCCATATAGAGGGATTCTCCCTGAGCCAAGACACACGAGGGCGGGCTTAGGCCCTATCTCAAAGGATACGATAGACTCTGATGACACCCTATGGAAGGCCTCACCATCCAGGGGGAGCAGAAATGATATTTGATAGTTTTTTTTTTAGTCGGGGGGGGGGGGTGGTAGGGGAGGACGGGAGGGAGAAGGGAACTGGGATTGCCATAAGAGAGATATATTTACTGCCAGGGTATATATATATATATATATATATATATATATATATATGATTATGTGTGAATACATATATATATTAATATTTTCCTAACAGACATGTATTATAAGTGAATATATAAAAAAATCAAGAAAGATAGCTGTATATACTGTACTTTTATTTGTTTATTTGAGACAGTTTCATATGTACCTCTGGCTGATCTGGAGCTTACGATATAGTACAGGCTGGCCTTGAACTTACACTTCTCCAACCGTAGACTCTCAAGTTCTAGGGTTACTAGTATGTGTGGTACCACGCCCAGCTTTATTTATCTGCCTATTGATGCATGGGTGTGCCTGCCTGTTCATGAGAGTGTGAGTGTGAGCATGTGCTTGTGTGTATATGTGAGTGTGTGTATCAGTAGGCCAGAGAACAGCTACAGGTGTCACCCTCCCGAATGTCATCCACCTCCTTTGAGCTCACCCGTTAGGCCACACTGGCTCACCAGCAGGCCCTAGTGATCCTTCTGTCTCTGCCTCCCCAGCCCTGGGATTATAATGAAGTGCCCCCAATGCCCGCTCTTTCAATGTGGGTTCTCACAAGGCAAGCCCTTTACACACTGAACTGTCTTCCTCAGCCCCTGGCCTTATTTTGTTGTTGTTTTGTTTTGTTTTGTTTTGAATGTGGATCATGAGCCCCTGAGTTAATTTTAAGATTCGTTAACGAGACCTGTTTGGAGTATAGAAACCCTGTCCTACGCATCATACATGCACAGTTGCTTTCTGTGCCTTTGCAGCAGCACCCTGAATTGAGTTTCATACACAGTCCAGTCCTTTTAACTGGCTTTTCCAGTTTCTTAAATCTTAGCAGTTTCTCCTTCTGACTGCATCCAAACTGCATGGCCCTTTTTGCACAGACTGGCCACCATTCATCCCCATACCCTGCAGTGGAGTCTTCATTCTCAGACACGTTGCAGTCCCTTTTCACTGGAGCCCATAGCCATCACTAGGACCATAACAGGTAGCTAACTTTTACGTACTTCTTTGCAATTTAAACGCAGGCCCTCTTTTGGGAAAGGGGTGCTAGGCATTGAACCCAAGGACTTACACATCCTAGGCAGGCATCCCACCACTTAGCTACCTTTGAGGCCCTTCATAACCCATCTTTTTTAGGTCTCCAAAGTCAGTTACTGTGACTTAAAAGAAAATGTCCTTGTGCTGGGCATGGCGCATAGCTTTAATCTCAGCACTCAGGAGGCAGAGGATCTCTGTAACTTGCAGGTCAGCCTGGTCTACAGAGTGAGTTCCAGGTGAGCCAGGGATACACAGTGAGACCCTGTCTCAATAAAACAAAACAACAACCTCCTATGTCCACACCCTTTTATAATGTGTCATTCTATCAAATTGCCTGTGTTGGGGGGGCCATCTGGCAGCTTCTGCTTTTGTGGGAACATGACTCCCAGTAAAGACTCACAGACTTGAAGATGGCGAAACGGTTAAAGCACTTGTTACACGGGCCTGAGGACCAGAGTTGAGATTCTCCCGAACCCACAGGCATGCTGAGTGGCCTGTGACTCTAGTCTCAGGAGGCAGGGAAGGGATCCCCAGAGCAAGCTGGCGAGCAAGACTGGATGTTGGCACCCAGCCCCCATGGGGTCGCTAAGAGTTGTTTTCCAGCATAACCACAGGTACCTCCTGTTTGCCTGACCTCACCCCACTGGGATCAATATCCTGTTGTGAACCCTTTGACCTGGGGTTTTTGTAAGTTTGTATATAAGGCTGCTCCACAATAAAGATGAGAGACATTCTCTCAGAAAAGGACCAGGAGTCTTGTGGTTCATCCAAATCTCCAGGCTTTTGCCCAATACTCGGACTTAGTGGCCAAGAGCAGC